CTCTCGGGTCGGGCTAAAGGGGGGGATAGCAGAGGGGGGGTGGGAGAATCAGCTCACGTAGCTGATTTTCCCGGCGCCTCCCGGCGCCGGAGGCGGCGATGTATGGAGGAATGGGCCCCTCGGTGGGGCCGAAACCAGCTGCACGCAGCAAATTTCGTAACCCCCCCTTTCCCAATCCCCCCCTTTCGTCCGGGCCGAGCCTCGGAGGCGCCAAGGAGCGAGCGGGCGAGGCGAAAGGGGGGTGCAAGACTGGGAAGCTGCGCTCGACCTCAACGGTGCTTTTCGTTTTGGTTCTGTCTTCGTTGTTTCCCTCGTTTTGTCTTCGTTCCGTCCTTGCTGCAAGACGAGATCGAAACGAAAACGGTCAACGATATCGCCAAATCACAGTTTAGGTCGAGCCCTTCCGGGCGGAGGAAGAGGAAGGATAAGACTCGGTATTGGAGACCAGTGCGGGAGTTTCCTGAAACCCTCCCGGGACCCCCCCGGAAAAAAACCAGAGTTGGTTTATTGTTTCGGTGATTTTCCCCTGGATCCCGCGGGGGGGGGTGGAGCTTGGGTGATTTTTGGATGGTTTCCGGGGCCCGACACTTCAAAACAACTCTATTTCTGATGGAAAAAATAGAAAAAACTCCGAGGGGGAAAAAGCATGAGTTTTTGTTTCATGGCTTTTTGGATGGTCCCAGTCGCAATTTGGGGAACTCCCCCGGGACCCCCCCAACTCAGCGGTTGTTCTACTACGGGGGGGGAGCCCCCGAAAAACACCCCAACTCGGGTTTTTGTTTCTGACGTGTGTCTGTTGTTTTGTCCGACCCCCGAACCAAAACAAAAAAAAAGAACAGCTCGGAGGTTTTCCGGGAGGTTTTCGGAGAAGGGGAAACCCCCGAAAAACCGTTCAACTCTGAAGTTTTTCGGGAGTTGTTCGGGGGTTCTGGGGCCCCACAATTGAAAGCAAACTGATTTTTCGAATTGTTTTGTCATCGGTGTTTCTGGTTTTTTTTTCCGGGGGATGGGGGGGGGGCCAAAACAAATCCAACTCGGGTTTGTTTCTGTGGGTTTTCGGGGGTTCTGGGGCCCCGCGCAAAAACACCATTATTTCAGAACATATCCCGGGAAACCCCCGAAACATAAAAAACTCGTAGGTTGTTTTAATCAAACGTTTTTAGGATGCTTCTCGCCGGTTTCTCCGAGAGGGAAACCCCAGAAAAAAGAACCCAACTGTTTGTTGTTGATTTCTGATGCTTTTTCGTTCTGGGGACCCACAATTGACAACAACATGTCTGAAAACCTCCAAGGAAACCCCTCGGAGGCCCACAATTAAAAACAGAACTATGTTTGAAAATCTCCCGGAAAACCCCCCAACCCCAATCTCTCGGAGGTTTCTCGGCCCCACGATTAAAAACAATACGATGTCTGAAGACACTCCCGGACAACCCCCCAAACAACTCCCACCTCGACGGTTGTTCTAAGGTTTCTCGGGAATTTCCTGAGAGGAGAGGGGGAACCGCGAGAAACCTCCCAACTCTGGGTTTTTACTCAAAAGGTTTTCCGGGGGGGAACCACTGAAAAAAACAAATCTGAAGTTCCTTCTGTGTTTTTCGAGAGTTCGGGGACCCCATAGCAAAAAACAATAATCAGAGTTAGGGGGCCGAACGGTCATTCATTGACCCTGGGTGCGTGGCTTAAAGCGGATCCGTGGTGAGGATTCTGCTTGTTGCGTTGTTGTTGTTGTTGCTGTTGTTGTTTGTTGATGTTGTTGTGTGTTGTCGTCCCCCCGCGACCCGGCCCGCGACCCACCCGCGACCCACTCCGCGACCCACCCGCGACCCACCACGACCCATCTGCGACCCAACCCACGACCCACCCACGTTGTTTTAACAAGAAATCGGCGCCTGCGGCGGGATCCTCGTATAGCTTGAAAATGTTGCGCCTGCGGCGGGCTTCTTCAAAACCTCGCAGACTGCAGACATCCCCACCGCCCCTTCACTCTTTCCCGCAACTGCAGAGTGCTACGTAGAGTTGAAAACCTTCCGGAATACATAGGAAAATCTCCAACTCTGGAGTGTTTCGGATGTTGTTCGGTGGCTCTGGGGCCCCACGGTTTAAAAACAATATTATGTCTGACCCCCCTCAGATTACCCCCGAAACTTTCCCAACTCGGTGGTTTTTCGGGAGTTCTGGGACCCACACTTACAAACAAAACGATTTCTGAACAACAAAAATGGGACACCCCTCCAAAACCTCCCAACTATGATGCTTTTCTGTGTTTTCGTTTGCAGTTCCGGGGCCCCACAATTAATAACAATATTTTGTCTGAAAACGTCCCGGACAACCTCCGAATCGCCTCCCAGCTCAAAAGTTGTTCGTGTTTTTCCAAAGATTCCGGGAACCCATAGATAAAAACAAAACTATGTCTGAAGACCCCCCAGACAACCCCCCAGACAACACCCGAAAAACCTCCCAACGCGGGAGTTTGTTCCCAACCATCCTGTGGTGTTGGGTCCTCGTTCTGAAGACACGGTCCCCACGTCTTTTCCTCCTCCCGTGCCCCTCCCCCTCCTCCCTCATCCATGCGTTTCACCCACCCAGTACAGCGCTTCGTGGTCCCATAAGAAATTCCACGTAAGGCCCCAGGATGGGGGTACCACATGCGTCTGCCACACCCACTACAGCTCTTCGTGGCCCCATAGCGAGCTCCACGTAAGGCCCCATGGGGGGTACCACATGCGTCTGCCACATCCAGTACAGCGCTTCGTGGCCCCATAGGGAACTCCACTGAAGGACCCAGGGGGGGGGTACCACACGCGTCTGCCACAACCTGTACAGCGTTTCGTGGCCCCATCGGGAACTCCACGAAGGCCCCAGTGGGGGTACCACATGCGTCCGCCACACCCAGTACAGCGCTTCGTGGCCCCATAGGGAGCTCCACCAAAGGCCCCAGTGGGGGGTACCACATGCGTCTACCACACCCAGTACAGCCTTTCGTGGCCCCATGGGGAGCTCCACGTAAGGCCCCAGCGGGGAGTACCGCATGCGTCCCGCACACCCAGTGCAGCGTTTCGTGGTCCCACAGGGAGCTCAGCTCCACCGATGGCCCGAGTGGGGGGTACCACATACATCCACCACACCCTATACAGCCTTTCGTGGCCCCATGGGGAGCTCCACGTAAGGCCCCAGTGGGGGTACCACATGCGTCCGCCACACCCAGTACAGCGCTTCGAGGGAACTCCACGTAAGGCCCCAGTGGGGGTACCACATGCGCCCGCCACACCCAGTACAGCGCTTCGTGGCCCCAGTCGAGCTCCACGTAAGGCCCCACTGGGGGTACCACATGCGTCCGCCACACCCAGTACAGCGCTTCGTGACCCCAATGGGGAGGTCCACCGAAGCCCCCCAGTGAGACCGCCCACATGCGTCCCACACATCCAATTTGGCAGTTTCACCCACCCAGTACAGCGCTTCGTGGCCCCATAGGAAGAGAAGCTCCAGCGAAGCCCCCAGTGGGACCGTCCGAATGCGTCCCGCACACCCAATTTGGCATTTTCACACACCCAGTATATCGTTTCGTGGCCCCAATGGGGAGCTCCACCCAAACCCCAGTGGGATCGCCCACATGCGTCCCAAACATCCAATCTGGCAGGTTCACCCACCCAGTACAGCACCGAAGCCCCCGGTGGGACCGTCCGCATGCGTCTCGGAAGCCCAATCTGGCAATTTCACCCACCCTGTCCAGCGCTTCGCGGCCCCATAGGGAGCCCAATTTGGCATTTTCGCACACCGAGTACAGCGTTCCGTGGCCCCATAGGGAGCTCCACCGACGCCCCCAGTGGGACCGTCCGCATGCGTTCCCCCCCACCCAGTGCAGCGCTTTTCGTGGCCACATAGGGAGCTTCACCGAAGAAGCGATTCACAATTGCGGCACCCACAACTGCATATGATTGGGTCCTTCGCAAGAATCTTTCTTCTTGGGTTTTCAAAGGTTCTGTGGTCCCACACTCAAAAAAAACAAGTATCCTGCACTGGGCGGGGGGAACGCTGCACCGTGTGGGTGGTTGCCACACCTGCCACGCCCTGTGCCATGGCCCGCATAGACGCCGCGCTCGGAGACCACCCCCCGCGCACCCCCTACGGGGTGAGGAAAGTGCCACACCTGCCACGCCCTGCGCCATGGCCCGCATAGACGCCGCGCTCGGAGACCACCCCCAGCGCACCCCCCTACGAGGTCGAGAAATTGCCACACCTGCCACGCCCTGCGCCATGGCCCGCATGGACGCCGCGCTCGGAGACCACCTGCGCACCCCCTACGAGGTCGAGAAAATGCCACACCTGCCACGCCCTGCGCCGTGGCCCGCATAGACGCCGCGCTCGGAGACCACCCCCTGCGCACCCCCTACGGGGCGAAGAAAGTGCCACACCTGCCACGCCCTGCGCCATGGCCCGCATAGACACCGCGCTCGGAGACCACCCCCTGCGCACCCCCTACGGGGTGAGGAAAGTGCCACACCTGCCACGCCCTGCGCCATGGCCCGCATAGACGCCGCGCTCGGAGACCACCCCTAGCGCACCCTCTACGAGATCGAGAAGGTGCCACACCTGCCACGCCCTGCGCCATAGCCCGCATAGACGCCGCGCTCGGAGACCCCACCTCAGCCCCCCAGCCGCGCTGCGAGCGCGCGTCGCGGCCCTCGATGAGCTGTATGCTGTGCTGCTGTGTTGTGCTGTGCTGCGCTGCGCTGCGCTGTGCTGTGCTGCGCTGTGCTGTGATGTGCAGCTGTGTGCTGAGCTGTGCTGTGGGTGAGGGGGGGAGGAAGAGGAGGGGGAGGAGGAGGAAGAGGAGGAGGTGGGAGACGCGGGTGCGGCGCGGGTTGGAAGAAAACCATAACCCCACTAAGCATGTGGGGAAAAACGAGGACCCAACACCAGAGGATGGTTGGGAAAAAACAACCGAACACCACCAGAAAAACTACCGAGACTGTTTTTCCTTGGGCTTTCCGGAAGATTAT